ATATAACCATGGAGGTGGTCATATTGCATTATCAGACTTCCACCATATCCACAGCCCAATTAGTATGACGTGCATCAGTTGCTGTATCAATAGACTCATTGGTGAATATCAAAACACATTTCTATACATTGCAGTTCACTGATGTGCTGTTTGATGCATACTGGAATATAACCAATGTTAGACTACATATTACAAAAGCAAGTGTTGACAATTACACTGGGAGGTTTTGAAACATCCATCCTATTCTCCAGATCTGGCTCCATCAAACTCTCACCTTTTCTAAAGTCCCTAAAATTATTCCAATTAAATTTGCAAACACAGATGATCTCAGAAATACAGTTGAAACACATATCATAACAAATTATGGAGAATACAAAACTGATTAAACATAAAAAATACATAATTTTTTATGTTAATCTGATATTTAAATCAAAAGTACAGCACACAGTGCCTAAAGGAAACATGGCCTAAAACATTAGTACATTATCTAGTTACAAGTGATAAACAAATAAGATCTGATTCCTTAATTTTGATAAAAGAACTGATGGATAGATATAGAGAACAGTGTTGTCTTTAGAACATAAGGGGCCCTGGGCCAGGACCAAGATCAAGATGATCCCCCCTTAAGGAAACAGAAACAATAGTATATTANGACAGTAAATCATTCGAAAAACTTTGTGAATCCGTTGGACGGCGTGCATACGCAAAACATCGAAAGGATGTGGGGGACCTTCAAGAACAGAAAAAATCTGCCCCTACACTATACCGAGGAACTTCGAGATTCGTATCTGTACGCTTTTATGTACAAAAAGCATATGAAATGGGAAAGTCTCAAGCCGGGTGATCGTTTCAGAATTTTCTGCGAACATTTAAGAAAAATGTATCCAGGAGCGGGCCGCGAGCCCGAATGGAAGGAGCCAGAAACCGTTCCGGCAGCCCCGGAAGCGATGCCGAAGAAGCAACCAAGCGGCGAGACGAGCAACAGCAGAAAGCGCGCCAGAGTCGGCGAATGACTGCGGACAAAGGTGAGTAAAAAAAACCTTTTTATTTTGTTATTTTGGTTAAAGTCCAGATACTTACTGTCATGGCGGCTCATCGCCGATTCCAGCAAAGAGAAGCAAACAGTGGGGACGCACGTTCTAACCTAACCTAAACCTATTCTAATAAATTATCACAATTAGTACCGATTAAATTATTAGAATAGGTTAGGTTAGGTCAGAACGTGCGTCCCCACTGTTTGCTTTTGTTTGGTGGAATCAGCGCCGGCGCCATGACAGCCGCCGACGCCCTTCGCTCGCGTCGTCACGTGACACGTCGTCTCGACAGGCGTACGGTTTTGAGGCTAAAAACGGAAGTGCCGCCATGATGTGGCACGCATCTGAACATTGACCGAATATAGAACTATCCCATTTACAAAACTTTACTATAAAAATCTCAATTTGTCTTATATATTTTTCGAAGTTCATTGGAAATCAAATTTATTAAAACAATTCTGAACAAAATCTCTCATTTCAGTGTATACATATAAGCACTTAACATTGAAAGATTGGATTGTATCCAAAATCATTAAATCTGTAATATTTGTTTTAATATCTATGTCACTATCAGATAGACAGTCGCAATAAATTTAGGTTAACATACTGATCAAAAGTATACTACAATAAGAAAGAAAATGCACTTTTCAATCAGATCAATATTAATTATCTATGATTCATAATGTAATTACTTCACAGAACTATAGTATTTTCTTAATAAAGGATTATCCAAAATCAAAATGTTTTCAGAAAATCTGTATATAAAACGTTTTTCTTTTTAAATACAGTATTAAATCAAGTGTTTCATCTCTGATAGAATCACATGTAGAAATTACTCTTAATTAATTTAATTTTTGCTTACTTTTGTTTACAGTTTTCAAAGCTCGATCGTATTCGCCATTTTGTCCCGATCGATTTAATTCGGCAAACAACGATGCTAAATTGCTAGGTGCTTGACTCATTTTTGCAAACAGCTGTATGATTCTTATTCCATCTTCTGCTTGACCACCACGTTTACTACAGAACAAATCTCTGACGTTTACATTCAGAATTATTAAGTGTTGCCAGATTTCTATATTCATTTCTATTCTTATTTCAATGAATTATTTAGAATAAATTAAATGTTCGTTTTATTTTTTTATAACGTGTTATTACATTAATAATAATTTAAACGTTACATTAGTCCTGCGAACATTAACCAAGTAAAAAAAATTTTTTTTTAAATTTCAATTACGAGATCGATCAAGTCCATAATGAAACGGTGGCTATTTTTTATTTAATTCTTTCCTCCCTGTGGACCTCTATTTTAGTAGGCNAAAGTTCTAGAACAGTTAAGACAAAAGAACAGAGGAGATACTAAGCCTAACTAAAATTAACAAAAATATATATAAAACTATGGCCGACGGCCACATCCCATTCCTCGTTTCCCGATTGGTCTCCCTTTTGTTTCTTGGTGAAAACCGAGACTTGATCGGTTCACGAGAAAGGTCCGTTTCGTGGCATGTATCCGATACCTTTTTGTCGACTCTGACAGGAATTTGTTGATAAAACTATAAGCCGTGCGCTCATAATTCAGTCCGTTGTTTCTATTTTCTGTCAATTTTTGGATTTTAATGATCGCACATGATGTTTTCCTAACCGTTTAATCTTTCCCATTTTTCGACTTTTTTAACCTAGATCGACTGTTTATGAGCGCTCGTGTCAGAGTTCCCTCTTCTCCGCCGACATTTTACCTAATCCGTTGTCAGTCGTTCTCGCGTTTGTTTTAACAACTACAGTTTTCTTTTCTCTCCTCGCATACATAACTAACATAACCTTTGGTCTCACTTGACAATGGCGTTTCACTTTTAACATGTAAAAATTTAAATTTTAGTTTCAATCCGTTCTGAAACTTCACAGTTTACATAAAAAGTTTAAACAAATACTGGAAATGACTGAAATAAACAGTTTATTTAGTTTAATTCTAAAATAGATACATTGACACGAAACAAAAGCATAAAAACTTGTTTTTATTTTTATGAACTAACTCTATTCGGCGATTTTTTCCGCAAAGTCGTTAATTACTTTACCATAAAAATCGCTCGTCGTAGATTCCATCAAAGTACTTAAAAGCTCTTTTTCTATTAAAAGCAACGTTAGTGACGACAATCTTTACTCCGACTGAGTGTTCTTTGCAAATTCGCTTTATGGTTGAAAAGCTGCGTTCAATAGAGGCACTCGTAGATGATAGCGAAAAATGAATGATATTAAATCATATATTTCTTTTAGTATATGTTTGTTAGGATCGTCATTAGTTATATTTTTTGTCTAAGAGTGACTTGCCAATATAGTCTGGACACGAATATAAGTAATGATTTGAGAAATTTTAAATCGTTTACGTAGAATTATTTCGCACAAGGATTACGGGAGCGGCGTTCATTTGGTATTATTTTAATTTAATTAATGCATTCCGATCGCTTGATTGCCCTTTCTTTTTCCTTTACTGGGATCGAGTCGATTAAGCCTAAGTGGTATTAAAGGTGGTCGCTCTCGCTCGTTTACCTCGCTTTCACTTCGAAGAATAATTGGTAAGGAGGGGGCGGGAACCTCCCAAAGTATAGACCCGGTACAACTCTAGATTCGGGGAGGGGTGAAAACTCCCAAACGGTAGATCCCCCTTTGCGATTAAAAAATGTCTAATCTACGGAAGCGGAGTCACGTGATCGGAAACGACGTACGTATAGTCGCATGCTACGCGAGTCAGAGCGACGTGCTGCCCGATTTTGGGAGGCTATATCCCGTGAAGAGTCGCCAGTAGGGGTATAGTTCATTAGGCATTTTTTGATCGCAAAGGGGGGTTTTCACCCCCTCTAGAGTTGTACCTAAATATTACAATTCACTACGTAATTTAGATAAATCAAAAAATTCTCCGTTAAAATTTGTTTAAAGAATTAAAACTCGCTTCGGAAAATTGTTTTTCATATTATTTAAAATTATTAACATTTAAAACTGATAAAAATCATTTAATTGTACATAAATGTTTTTTCTTCCTATTTTCTCCATATGTTTTTCCCCATAATAACAACTATATATCTACTTTTGCATCCCCTGTATTTACCTCTAAATAGCGGTCACCGTCGTCCATAACCAACCTTACAAAAACGCAATGTTCTGCCTTCAATATTCTGAAAGAATTACGTACGAAATATTTTAAAACTGAAACAAAGAATCAGTTCAAATACTCTAGGGCAGTGTTTTTCAACCTGTGGTTCGCGAACCCAGAGGGGTCGCAAAGCTTTACACGGGAGGTCGCGGCTAAAAGAAAAAGACAAGTGTTTGTAGGTCCTACACTACAATAAAAAAACTACAATCTCAGTGAGAAGGCTGCGCGTGTTTATTTTACAGTACAATTGGATTTTTGATCGATATTTAGGTCTCAACAGAAAGAAACTTAAATACGTAGTTTTTAAAATCATTGACATAGTTTTAATATGGCCCTGGGGGGTTGTCAGAATTTTTTAACTTGTAAAGGGGTCGTTTATTCAAAAAGGTTGAAAAACACTGCTCTAGGGGACGAATTTTGAACGTAGGCGTCGAATAAAGACTCACTTAAAATAGGATTAGGGAAGGAAGGTAGGTTGTAAAAAGCCGAACAATACTCTCCATCTGTTAGAGAAGACTAATCTGGTTAAGTTGTCAATCACCACATATCATCATACATATTATTAAACTTCTTATTGTTGGACTTAAGCTTTGGTACCAAGAAACCATAAACTTTTCCGAAGTTATTCGTTCATTCAACAAGAACCGTAGTAGGTTATAGTAGTAACGAAAGAAACTTAAATATGGTTACTACAACAGCGGCGAAGGGGTCTTAAATGACGTTACAAATTCAAGAAGACAGAATACATTATTCACTCCTTGAAGTGGCTAGCAAATCGCCTTTCGTAACTTTACATTCGAACTCATCGCCTAAACCGACCGTCCCCTTTCCTTTCTGTTCACGTTTCATTTTTTAAATAAGCGTCCAATTACTTACAATTTCTGGCAATAAATCTATCGACAAATTAGTCAGCTTAAACATTTTTTATTGAATAAATACATGGACAACTGTAAAAGTTCAAAAAATACACAGAAGTCATTATTTCTGGTATTTTGTACTTAAAACGTGTTTTTAAGTCCAACATTTGAACTGCATAAGATATGTTTAGAAATTAACTATTACATAACAAAATCAAATAACCAAAATTTGTTAGTTGAACGTAATATGGTATGTTATTTTATATAATAATTTTGATATAAAATCTAAGAATATGCTTTATGTGCAAGTCAGACTCCAGCGAATGAAGTTGCGTGTGGTGTTGCAATCGACTTTTATGAATGAAAGATATACTGTATTACAAACTTTCTTCTGTTATCAATTTCTGCTCATATTTACAGCTGTTTTTGTCATATTGGAGAAAGGATTACAGGAAACTGATACCGAGAGTCCTTGCGACGATGTTAAAATACCAACTTTCTGTTCTGTATATTCGCAAACTGTTGAAGTCGACGGGGAATTCATTTGAATAGAACATGGACTTTTTTCTGATTTCTCCTTTAAAAAAGTGTAATTTGACCACGATTCCGCCATTTGCGTAGAATCATTATCGAATTTAAATCGTTTTCTTAGCAATGATTTCGATTCGTCCAATTCTTCCGTTAAATTTTCTGTCTTCACACATTTTTCATCCTTAAAATACTTCGATTCGTCATTCTTCTCATCAATCATTTTTACTATATTTTTAATTTGAAATTTATCCGCAGCGTCAATAAATTCTGACATTTCGTCGAAAGTCAACTGGACTTCTCCAAAATACATGAAATCTATCAAATATTTCAGTTGCTTATATTTTAAATCGGTTAAGTAAACCACTGTATCATTACTTGGATTTTCCGAAAATAAAGTACAAAAATAAGGACTGAATGACGAAAGTACTATTTTGTGACATTTCAGTATCTTTCCTTCGCACATTAAAGTCACATCGACGAATCTTCCAGTTGAATAAAAATCAGCAAACATTTTGCCGGATAAATCACAATTACCTCGAACTAATTTAATTGAGTTATTCATTTCACTTCTATTTCTTAAATATTAAAGTAATTTATTAAAAATTTACCTTACGAAACGTTTAACGCCAGCACGAAACTTACCCACGTCTAAACTACTGACTTGACTGTCGTATGGGGGTTCAATGATGAATATCAAGGGTTAATTAATTATACAGTTTAAGGGAATATGAGTTTTTTCTTATTTTATTTTAGAAAGAAGATATATTTAATAGACATTCAGAAAACGCATAACATTTTTCCGGGCGGCCCATATATAAAGTGCTATAAAGAAAAAAATCATAGGACTACTTACCGATTGTGCCCCGTTCGAGACGCCATTGCCAGACGGCGGATGCACACGAACCGTGTCATGTGATTTAATTTCGACGTCACTTGGTTATGTGAATGTCTATTAAATATATTTTACCATTTTTTAAAATAACATAAGAAAAAACTGAAATTCCCTTAAACTGTATAATTACTAAGGTCCGGATTTTTGGGTTCCGCACCCAATCGGTTTTTGAAAGGGACAGAGTGTAAAAGACAAACTACGTCGGTTTTAGTGAAGTAGGTCCACTCAAATTGTTTAGCACCCAAAGCGTTAATTAGCACTCAAACTATTCGCATTTTTCGCCGGATGCTTGCTCTCTGGTGTTTAAAAACAAAACTATTCTATCTGGGTCGTTTGATTCATTCTTGTGTATTATCAGCAGTAAAGATGAAAAACGATAGAAAAAGCAAAGCTTACTGTTGCGTCCCAAATTGCAATTTAAAAGCCTTACGGGAGTCTAATATAAGTTTTCGTCTATTCCCGCACGAAAAACAGATGATCATTCGGAAATCGGTCGGTTATATTTATGAGCTTCTTCCGAAAGAGTAGATTAGACTGTTAAGAATTGGCAGTTTCCCGATTGTCCAAGTTTTACACGAACAATTTTATACGCTTAAAATTGACAGCTTTACACGCTGTCAATTTTAAAACACAGGCCACGTTTCTTTATGCAGCGAGAGTGTAGCGAAATGACTTCACGAGCAGTGTTGGCCAATTAGAAACCAGTTTCAGTGTGTTCGCTGTATAGCGCTTATCGAGCGCTGCATAAAGAAACGCGAGGATATTGTCTTAAAAGTTTAAAATGCCAGTAATTTTGTGTGGGACACAGAGTAGGATTTAAGCATTTCGAAGCCCTAAGCTGAACTAAGCAAGGCCCCTTACCAACCCTTCACAATTTTACAAGTCAATATTAAAAAGAAAAGAATTAAATCAGACTATGTCTCTGATTTAATACGGATATTGGAAGAAAAAGACGCGAGGTTTCACTAGTGTTGTTTTATAACTGTATTTAATTAATTCTTATACCCATTCTGTTAAAAATCTTTCTTAAAATTTGTTTTATCGATTTTTTAAAAAAAGATTTTATGCTATTCTTAGAAAAAAAGTTAATGAATTAATAAAATACTAACAAAATAAAAAGTAAAGTATATTTTGTTGGTTTGTAAAAAATGTTTATTACAAAATTTGACTTCAATTTTCTTTTTTGTACATATGTTTGAGGCCCTAAGCAACAACTTACATAGCTTTTTACTTGTAAATCTGGCCTGATAGGACAGATGTCAAAGCTGATGTTTTTTAAACACAAAGGGCACAAATATGCATAGAACGATCTCGCTCGTTTGTTTCCATACTACATAATGACGTGTCCCGCTAGCAATAATATATGATTAATTTTACATTACTAGTTACAGGCCAAGATTCTAGGACCTTGGTTACAGGCGACCCGAATAAGGTAACCATTTTGTAAAAATGCAGCGCCCTCAATAGTTCATGAAAAACGCGAATATATTTTGCACCCAGCTTCTTCGTTTTACATTTTCAAAGAATATCTTGTTCTAGTGATTTTTATTCATTCACTTAAGGAGAAAAAAACCAAATTCGTTAAACCGGACCAGGTATGCTGAGGAAAAAAAAATAATAATTAGCTTACTCTCTTCTTTTGTTGAGAGAAAAGGGGTAAAGAGAAATTTTCTGGACTAAACAATTAAGCTTTAGAATTGTTTTAAGAATGTAAACGGATTCACTGAAAATCTATAACATGTGTTTTCTTTTCTAAGAAAAGAACAAAAAATTCTGTATTGAGGTAACCTTACTTGTAAGCGCAACAGTTCCAATTTCCTTTGTTCGGTGTCAGCGACATTAGAAAATGGCAAAATTGTCCGCATCGAAACTGAACGTTTTAGCAAATAAGTTTAAAGATGAAGGCGTATGCACAGACGGAAAAGTTCTTCGCTGTTCCACTTGCGATTAGGTGATTCAGGTTGATGTGAAACACCAAGAACGAAAATTAGGAAACACGCGAGTTCGGAAAAGCATAGAGAAGGAAAACAGAAAAGGAGGAATTTCGAGCAGACATTTATAGAGGCCTTATTTCAAAGAGAAGAATCTCAGAAGGCTAATAATACGTTTTATGCAGATTTAATATAAGCCCGAGGTAGATACAATCAATTGAAGAAATATATCCAATCACATGGACTATTTTTACATTTGTAAGCCTGTTAACATTATCTACTCTGGGGTCTCGGGATCGAGCAAGCAACCCCAGTAATTTTTCGTGGGTAGACTGCGGCGAATCCCGGTCTTCACTCCTCATCATCTCTCATTATGTGTCTGGTCGAATTCGCATTGAGCATGGAAAAGAGGCATTCTTTAGTGCCTACAAGACGAAGAGTCAAAAATGCAAAAGATGCCATATCAGAAATTTTACACATTTACATGTGCTGTACAAATTGAAGTAATTTCACAAATAAGTAAATAAAACAAATATTCATATTTATTTCTATAATATATGGAAACAATTCATAAAACTGCATTTTACTTTTTTAATTTCTTTACTACTGGCTAATGAAAGTATTAGTCAAAATCAAGAAAAAGAATGTCTTACAGGCAAACTATAAAATTTGTTTAAAATTGATTGCTTTACTTGTGAAAACTTTGAAAATAGATTTAAAATGAATATTGGAACTGCGGTTTAATAAAGAATTTATTTCGTTCCTAAACATAACATTTTTGAAATGTGATCCTCACGAGAAATTTCAAGACGAAATAGTTACTACTCATTAATTTTTTTTCACAAGTAGATTGTTGAACACTGTATTGCGTCAATACAAAAAGACAGACAAAGCGTCCCGTGGTCGAGGGTGTAAGGTTACGTATCTTAACCAATTTTACGATTATTTTTGGAATTTTTTTACTCAATTTAGGAAGGGGCAAGTGTTCTGTTTGTCTCCTCTGCGGACGCCCAGATTTGCAATTAATAGCGAGGTTAAGGACAAAGTTTTAAACGCGAAAACTTGTACTGTATGTCGGACTTTCAGCGCCGCTTTCCTGTAAGCCAAGAAGTTTGACAATAGTGTTTGGATAGTTAGTGGAATCATGCTCAACATTCCAAACACCATTGTCAAACTTCTAAAATTTGAAAATTTAAAGAATCAATGCTTCTCACATGTACGACTGTATGTGGCGAGCTCACTCGTCGGAAAACCTTCCAATTTATTCGTGTACGCACCACACGGAAAAACAAAAAATATCGTGTATCCACAAGCACCCAATAAATAAATAGAATTGAAACGACACTTTGAAATGTTTTCCCGATGAAAATGAATAATATTAATAATAATAAGTTTCAATAAAAATGATAAAATGTAAATTTAATTTTATCATAACGAGTTTGCTTGAATTTCGTTTCTTCTGAATCGCAGCAATGCACGACGGGTAACCTAGTCCAACGGTGGGCAACCCCCGGCCCGCGGGCCAGCTACGGCCCGCGAAAAGTTTCTATCCGGCCCGCGAAAAGTTTCTATCCGGCCCGCGAGATGTTTAGAAGAAATTATAAATAAATATTTTTCGACGTAATTCGTCTAGTTTAAATTGAATATTATTTTCTGAAGTGTTGTGGCAGCAATGACAGGAAAAAATAAGGGAGTCATTTCCTTATTCAAACAAAAAATGGGAGAACAGAATTTTTCTAAATTATTTATATCTCATCGCATCATCCATCAAGAAAATCTATGTGCAAAAGCTATGCAATTAGAAAATGTAATGTCTGTCGTATCCAACTACATAGTGCTGTTTTTATTGTGTTTAAAGTCACTTAGATTTTACAAATAGGTGAGCCGTTCACAGCCCGGCACACTCATTTGTAAAATCTAAGTGACTTATACAACATGGAATTCATATAAAACGGAATAAACAACAGTGTTACAGGGGGGGTCGACTGTAGTAATTAATTTCTTTTTATTTATTTATTTAATATTTGCAGACTAAAAATTTACAGGTCACAAGGTGTTAATTAACTACTATGGCCCGCGGGAAAAACGTAAAATTTATTCTGGCCCATGTTATAAAAAAGATTGCCCACCCTTGACCTAGTCTATACTATTATTATAAAGAGGTAATGTATGTAAGTTTGTTTGCAGCAGGTAATCTCCGAAACTACTCATCCGATTTCAAAAATTCTTTCACCAATATTTAGAATGGAACCTCAGGGTGGACATAGACTGTATATTATTCCGTTAAACATTCATATAAATTAAAATATATAATCTAGGTTAAGGCTTTTATGTCCAACAGATGGCGCTACGAGTACGACGCCCTAAGTTTGCTTTTCTGTGAAAATGAACTAAAGCAGATCATCTATCTATATAAATAAAAGTGTAATGTTCGTTTGTTCCTACCGATTCCTTTGAAATTTTGACACAATGCTGCATTCGAATACGCACGTGTTTTTATATAATATACATATCGAAATCCTCCCCCCGGGAGATGGACAGGATTAAGGCTTACCGTAAAGAACTCTGCTTCTATTTATACTATTTTAGATGCGGTTTTACGAGTTTTAATAGGGTACGTCAACAGAATATACACTACAAACGGATTTTTCGATATTCCCCCCGCTGGGGAGAGGGACAGGATTAAGGCTTACCGTGAAGAACTTGGCTTCTATTATACTATTTCAGATGCGGTTTTTTGCGTTTTAATAGGGTACGTCAAGAAAATGTACACTAAGGGATTTTTCGAAAAATTCCCCCCCCCCACGGGAAGTGTTATACATTTATAATAGATACATTTTGAGCCACAACAACGCGTGGCGGGGTCTGCTAGTAGGAGATAAATCTTTAAACGGCATTTACGTCATATAAAGATATGACGTTTCTACTTGAAAATAAATCTTTTGTTTCGACAGAATTTCCATAAGTGGAACTAGGATTTGTCCATATTAAATGTAACAATGTCAGGTTTCATTTATTGTTTACATCAACGCGGCATGTTGGCGATCTGCCTAGGATGTCTCCGGAAGGACTTATGGGAAACTGTCTCTATTTACATATTATTTGAAGAAAGTCTGGAAAACTACACATGGCCAATCCGAGGCGTGGACCCAGGACCAACTGATGTTCAGTTGTTTTATCTACTTGGCCACTAGTGGGTGTAATGTCAGTATTTTGAATTTATTAAACTATGCTTTAAAATTAAGTTAGTTAAGTTTTTTTTTTCTTAAAGATGAAAACTGATAACACATTAATAAAGACATCAAAACGATTACTAATACAAACTGAAGCTAACCTATGTAAATTATCTTCTGCAAAATCTGAAATGCACTTCAGTGTGTAGAGATTATCTATGAACAAGGAAAAACAAAATATTTATGTGTGAGAGGTATAGATGGCAGTATAAAAATGAATAATGCAAAACTTACAATATTTGACCATTAAAAATATTTTTCTTTAATTCCACTCCTAAATAAGACAACAGAGACTGGAAAGGAATAAAAATGTAGTTTAAGAAGCTGACTGGAATCTGGTAGGATGTCAAAATCTTGTAAATGAAAATTGAATATACTGTATTAAATAAACCTATAGATAAAATAAAAAAATAATGAACACAAAGATATTAATTACTAATGAAATAAAAAAAAGGCAGTTAGTATGGTGTGATCAAATGAAATGAATTACAGGATGCAAATTACCAAGGATAGCTAAATAGGAGGAAAAAAAAGGAAAACTGAGAAAGACATAGGAAAAAATGACAAGAAAAATGATGGACATACATACCAAAAGATAAGTAAAATATGCATGAATAGAACAGAGTGGAAAGATAATGTTTGAAGATATATTTGATATGTTTGATAAAAAGAAAACATTAAACTCCAGAGACCATAGTATTTTCCAGGTCAGAAATGGAACTGATGTGATGGATCTTATGTGTATCACTTTGCTGTTTTAATTAAGTAATGAAAATTCTTCAAAACAATGTTCGAATTTCAAAAATAAAAAATTTTTTTTGTTATGTTTGAAAATTCAATTACACGACATTGTGATACCTGATGTTTTGTTATTTTTAATAATCTCAAAATTTCATGCAAAATGTTTGAAATGTCAAATTTCAAATATATATATATATATATGTATGTTTGAATTGTTACAAACATATACGGTATTAAAAAATTGTTTTACTTTGTAATGAATATAGGACTATTTTCATTTGAATATGTAGACTAATGGAACTCCAGCTCCATTCTTACTCTGCAAAAGACTAATATACACACTCACACTTCCAGTGTGTATACATTTATTTGTACAAAAAAGTGAAAGAAGTTGTATTTACATATACCAGAAAAATTTATAATACTGAACAATATATATATATATTTTGGTTTATCTGACTACACCTTCATTTTTCTTGATTTTTTAATAATTCATTCTGACTTGTGGGCACAAAAAGGGCCTTTTTTTAACAAACCCATTATGAATTTGACCAGGCTCAGAATGGGGATCAACATATTTGGATGGATCATTCCCCCAGAAATTCCTGAGATTTTCAGTCCATCCAGATTCAATTCCAGGTGCTCCAGTGCGGTAGGCTGCCACCTTAACCATTTGGCATCTGGACATCCATTCCATCTGGTTGGTAAAAATTCCTGGGAGGACATTTGATAAATATCATCTTTTTTCAAGAATTAAATTTTAACACTTGGAATGATAATGTAGTTAGTTTGAATTTCTGAACTACCATATTTAAAAGATCAAAATGACTAAATAAATATTATAAACAACTTTTAATAATTCTTTGGATAAACAAGAGCACCGTCATTTTCTTAGAACTATTTTTCATCATGTAATTATAATTTTTTTGGTATATATTTATGCTCGCACCAAGGCGTCAAAGTATAGTTACAGACAAGTTTGACATTGTATACAAAAACAGGGGCAGTGCCTATCACTAATTCATGTCTGTTGACCACTGTATATTTTACTGTGGTCAGTCCAGTTAATCGGTCTCGACGTCTTGTAGCCTAAAAAATAAATAAAAGTTAAAGAAACACATCAGTAGGAATCTAATAAAACTGAAAATGTTTTAGCAAACCTCTTTCTGATTAAAAAGTCGTGCTGTATCTCTTCTTCGACTTTTGTGATCATGGATATGAAGAAAAGTATTCTTAGGACCTGTTACTATTCCTTTTGGACGAGTTACCTAAACAAAATCATTAATTACACAATATCTCAAATAGCAGCTGTTTTTCAGATATAAAAATTTTTTATCAACTTACAAATTATTTACTATTGGCAATCAGATTTTCCTTCAGTATTTTTTAATACCTGAATAATGCCTTGATATGATAATGAACTGTCCTAGGAAGATACCTGCAATGAAATAATGCAAAACTTCACCACACTTTTAGAAATGAAAAGCAACTCTAAAATTACATCAATTAATGTTAATGGAATTTTCAGCTGGATGAATGAATAAGAGCCAAAATTTCTTATTTTTCTGTTTATTACTATTATTTTTATTTTATAAATAAAAACACAGTAATTTTCCTAATTCTATAGTCTTTAAATTAAAACATTAAGATTTATGGAAATAAACTAACAAAAATGTAGATTTTCATTTATATAATGCACTTTAACAATCACACAAAATTTCTTGTATTATTTAGATTATAAAGCTTACACTTAGTGAGAAATAATTTGAATACATTTAATGTATCTTCTACAGACAGTTCATAATAAATACTAAAGGAAGAAATACAATTCAATGTATAAATCAATAAAAATTTCATTTTATATTTTATATAATTATAAATTGATCTGAAATTTGTCCAAGACAGTGAATAATGTTCTAAAGACAAAAGAAACAACTTAAAGAAATGATGAAACAATTAGATATTTTGCATATGTTATTTTGTAATAGCTATAATCAAGTAAAATTTTTTAATAAAATAACCCCAGCTTCCAAGAATTTGTATTTTTCCTGTACAAATGACCACTATTCAGCTAAAAAGGAAAGACACGAAAACATGTAAACTGATCTTCATTGGAAATATTTATTCATTTCTCCCCTAGTTCAGTGATTAACGACCTGCAGTCTGGAGTTGCATGTGGCTGTTTGAGAATGTTTCTATGTCTCCTGACATATTTATTGCAGTATAGATAAAGGTGGTATTTATTTTAGTTATACAAGTTCCAGTAGATTTTATTTTTATCTTTAATTTAAATTATCAATAATTTTGGTCCTAATTTTTAAGAATTTTGCTTCACAAACACTTTTTTTAGATCAGTGCTTCTCAAAATACTGGGATATCATCCCCTGCAGTGTGGTTGAATTATCCAAAAGGGCATTAGGCATGATAGGAGGCGACAGGGGGTGATAGGCTCTGTTGTCTCCAATCCTTGTTCTGTGTACACTTAACAAGGTCATTACTACTAACAGTCACAACCAACAGGAGTAGTGATCCAAAAAGGTTTGAGATGCACTGTCTTAGGCACTCGAGGAAGAAGTGAAGACAAAGGGGCGACAAGAGAGCAGGGACGAGCGAAAAAGCGGCATTTCGAGCAGCAGCCGACGGGAAGAACGGGCCCTAGGAATTCGAGGGAGCCGAGCGGAAAGGCGAAACAACCGGGGAAGGGACGACCGAGGGGAGAGGGATCGAGGCGAAGAAGAAGCGAACAGAAAGGAGCCACGGGAGAGGAGCTACGGGCCAAAAAGCGGCATTTCAAGCGGCGGCCGACGGGAAGAACGGGCCACAGGAATTCGAGAAAGCCAAGCGGAAAGGTGAAACAACCAGGGAAGGGACGACCGAGGGGAGAGAGATTGAGGCGAAGAAGAAGCGAACAGAAAGGAGCCACGGGAGAGGAGCTACGGGCCAAAAAGCGGAATTTCGAGCGGCAGCTGACGGGAAAAACGGCCCCTAGGAATTCGAGGGAGCCGAGCGGAAAGGCGAAACAACTGGGGAAGGGACGACCGAGGGGAGAGGGATCGAGGCGAAGAAGAAGTGAACAGAAAGGAGCCACGGGAGAGGAGAGGAAAGGGAAAAAGCGGCGATAGGAGCGGCGGCCGACCGGAAGAAAGGGGCGCGGGAATTCGGGAAACACAAGCGGAATGTCCAAACAAGCGGGAAAGGGAAGAACGATAGGAGAGGGTTCGAGGCGAAGAAGAAGAAGAGAACAGAAAGGAGCGTTAGGGAGAGGAGGAGCCACGGGCGGAAAAGCAGCAATGCGAGAGCAGGTTAGGTGAGGTCGGGTTAGGGCGGCCGGGTAAGGAAAGAGCGAGAGGGGAAAGTAGAAGCGAAACAATCGGGAAAAAGCGGCAAAGTAGCCGGAGGCACAGACAGCCGCGGGCCACATCCCCCGACATTTGACCTTTGACCCTGGACGGATAGATAGATAGATAGATACTTCCCATTTTTCTCTCCCCACGAGGGCCCTGGTGCCCCCGTAACCCCCTCTTAATATGAACCAATACTGGAGCACTGGTGGGCTCGGTGGAGACAAAACGAAAAAGGAGGGAGAGCAAACCAAAAAAAAAAAAAAAAANAAAAAAAAAAAAAAAAAAAAAAACCAGTAGAATCCGAGATTCGATCCGAGTAGGTGGCCGTCTTCAACATAACCTCCCATCAAAAAACGCCTAAATTTACAAAAAAAAAAACAAAAAAAAAAGGGACAAGAAAAGAGGAAAAAGAGATGCGGAGGAGGGGGGAGGCGGCCACGGTGCCTGCGGCAAGAGACAAAAGGTCAAAGGCCAAAGGTCAGGGGGGACGCACTATGCAAAGCTACGCTTTGCTCAATTAAGCTAGTAAATCAAGAAAAATGCATATTTTTAGAACAGAACAAAAACATATAAATTCCTTAAAATCAAGAAATTAAATTAATTCTTCATTTAGTTTCTTGTTTGGATCTGTATCAAATTGTTATTTCAGCAACCCAATAATGCTGTTTTTTCCCAAACTTATCACAAGAAGTTCTGTATGTTATAACTCTCCTTTATTATTATTATTTTAAAAGTACCTTTAACAAAATGCAATTCAGAATCATATTATCCCTCTTCAGTTGTTATATATTAGAGAAAGGTACAAATAAATTTCCAATTTTAACAACAAAATTATTAAATATACACACTTGGCTTTCAAATTTTCAAATAAATTATTAAAATCAACGAGACATATACCATAAGATAATAAGCACACATTTAAAGTATAAATAAAACACAAAATGAAAAACTTTTACCTCACTATTACAGGGTACTTAAACGTTATTGCAGGTCCTCTGCTGGCTAAAAATTGATACCAAGAGGGGTATAATATATATTATTTTACAATAATGTTTAAGTACCCTGTAATAGTGAAGTAAAAGTTCTTCATTTATACTTTAAAATGTGTGCTTATCTTATGGTATATGCCTTCTTGATTTTAATAATGTATTTGAAGATTTGAAAGCCAAATGTGTATTTAATAATGTAGTTTGTACACCAAATGTAAGTTTATCTTATTCTTTATATATTAATATTTTTGTTATTAAAATAGGGAATTTATTTGTATCTTTGTTTTGTAAATCGATTGAATCCGAATCGACGGTGCCTTTACAAATTCGATATTTCAGATTTGCCCGAGAGGTAAGGGCTAGATTAAACAATGAATTCTATATATTTAAAACTTAATTGAAATATCAAAAGTACCCTTTGGGATCGTCTTTCTTAATTTTTTTTATGNGGAATAATTATAAGTACGAAGTAAAGAAATCAACTTTGTACGGACGAAAAACTTTTCACACGATAAACAACTTTTACTATTTCATTTTTATAATATTTTAATGATCTAAAATGAATTATATCCTACAATAAAATTTTAGCGTTTATAACATTTAATTACCTATATTTAAAGCTGTAAATCGTTTAAACTACTCTCACACATCATGCTAATACTCATTATTGTATATTATCATTTTGATTGCTGACTATATAATTATCAAATATACAGTACTTGACAAAGCAGTCAATTCAGTCAAATTTGGTAAAATTACTCGTGATATAATTCACTCTCAACATAAATCCTTTATGTGAAGTGTGTTGTCATTCGTACTTAATAAAGTTTACTTTATCTTCAACGTTTATTTTTAATCCCTGGTTGTGGAGATTGAGTTCGATAAGTTTGTTTAACGTGGTTGTGGTAAAGGTTTTCCAAGATAAAGACAGGAAAATCATTTTTATACAGCTGCAACTTTATTAAAACTTACATTGTTGTATAACGGTATACATCCTACACATGAATAAAAATAGCATGTTATTTTATATAAATTTAATAATATAAATAAAAAATATACATTCTCATACAAGTTCAAAATGTTCCCTCGTCAAAAGAAGGATGCCGCCAACAAAAGTCGAATAATGATATCTAGGATGCAATTCAGGCGCAGCAATATGATAAGGACCACTTTCTGGATATGAATAGCTTAAATTGGGATTCAATGGCAAAAGATCCACATCATGCATGACTAAATAATCACATTCAGAACGACTCAATAAATGACCAACATTAATTAATGATGCTCGGTTAAATCTATATAAAAAAGTTAGTACATAATCAAATTTTAATTCTGAACAATTACTTTTAGACAAAGATATAATTAAAATTGTTATAGTAAGGACATAGAGGCATAAGAATTAATTACAGTGATACCCCGAACTTATGCAATAGGTGGGACTGAGCAATAATAGCATAAGTCGAATTCGTGTAAGTCAGGGTATAATTTCGCAATTTGTGTAAAATCCAAGTCAGATGTATGTAAGCTAATAAATGTTCTCGTTAATCTTATCTTGTCTTTTGATTTGTTCACAGTTACAAGAAATCACCACATAGAGTCTCTCGAGTCTCCGTAGATATAACAAAAACAGAAATAAATAACACAAAATAAATTGTAGCTATGTGTTGATTCCACGCGACACATCCAAACATGTAAGCCGAACAATAGTGTGAGGGGAGTGAGTAATCGAGAGATGCATGGTGCTCAAACAAAAGAGGAATCAACGAGATTTGAAAATTGCATAACCCCGGGTTTGAGTAAGTCAAAGTAGTGTAAGTCAAGATATTACTGTACTTTTAGAATTTGTAAATTAATATTTACAGAGATTAAATTGAATAATTTATACTACTAAATGTTTTTAGATACAGTTAATGACAAATTTTATTATAATTAATATCTTAACCAAATCATATCTGAATCTTACCTTAAATTGTCTACTTGGTTTATAACATAAATTTTATGACGAATCTGTTGGTTATTTAAAAAACGATGAATATAAGGTGAAAATTGTAATAATTCTTCAAATCGATTACGGAATGGCACAATTACAGCTAACTGATGTGGTCCCCAATTTGAGATTCTGTTCAATTGATACTTAAATAAATACAATCAAATTAATTATAAAGTATAAAATATTTTATTTATATTTAATTATAAGTTTTAGCAATTAATGTAATTTAATTTATGATTACAATTTAATACATTATTTGTAATGATATAGTTCAGTACACTATAGTGGAACCTCATTATGTCAGATTGCAATAAGTTGAAATTATATGAAATCAAAGCTATTTACATTCCCCAGTAATCCACTAAATGAATTTACACGTGAATTCAAATTTGTTAACACCAGAATGCCTAGCAGGGATCAATTGACTGCTTTTGATTTTCAAATTAGCTTATTTGCAGTAGTTTTGGTAATTATTTTGAGATTTTTAATGATTTCAATTAGTTATTTTTGACTAGTAATCATTGTTTACCAAAATAAAATAACACTGATTTTACTTTTGGATTCCAGCAGAGGTTAATTGAACACTCTGTGTTTAACAAAGTTTTTTCATATACTTTTAATGATAAAAGTTCACTAATTTATCACTTATAACTGAAAAGAGTATAATAAGTATGATAACTGAAAAAGATGTTTGCTGCACCAGTTTTGAAGATGCACAGCTGCCAGCTCTAGAATTGCAGTTTATATATAAGTTTCCTGGCCCTTCAATGTCACATCTGTTTTAAGTTGAATTGCATTTGCTATTTTATAGATACAGTCGATCCCCCTATAAGACGGTAGATATGTTCCGTTCTTTATGAATCAATTTTGTAGGAATCACAGCCCAACACGTGTGAAGTTTATGGACTATGGCTGTTTGAAAGATTTTCTTCCATAAAATTAATCAATTCTAGACTAATCCGACTCAACATTTCCAAAATATGTATATTTTTTTTGGAAATAATCCGTATAAACTACGCTCTAAACAAAAAATTGTAGGATTACTTACCGAGTGTGCACCATTCGACATTGCCATTGCTCAAGCTTGTTTTCGCTGCGGAACAGCACAGCAAACCGCGGCCACGATTTCTGATGTTATTTTTCTGCGAAAACTTCGCTGAACTTTGGAGACATCATTAATATAAATAATTTTAATCGCCATTGGATAAGAAATGTTTCTTTCATAAGAAATGTATAAAATTACAGTACTGTATTAGACTTACGGTATCTATTTTACATACTGTACAGACGATAGTTCGCCTAAACTCTCCGTAGCATGGCGCTAGACAGCGGAAAGTATATATATAATTATAATAAAGTTACAATAAATTAAGTTGATATATAATTATATATATACAGTACCTAATTTATATATAATTATATGTACAGACGATACTAAACTCAACTTACTCGCCTAAACTCTCCATAGTGTGGTGCTAGACGGCGGAAAGTAGTTCGGCTGCCCGATGACGTTTTACGTAATTATAGGAGTTTTTTTACTGTTGTTTATGGATACCGCCACAATTTTTTCGCCGTCTTATAGGAATCATAATTATAGGAACCCGTCTTATAGGGGGATCTATGTAGTTGCATTTGTATCCTTTGCTCAAGCATGATCTTACTGCACATGAAATTGTGAAAGCTGTGCAAGTAACATTAGGAGTAACCATATACCATTTATTTTTGTTCCTTCATTTTCATTTATACAATTTTTTGTTAAATGTCACTAGAGGGAGGCAAATACATTTCCAGTAATTATAGATAATAAAATATATCTAAAGTATCTAATATATATATAAAAATATATCTAAAAGCTGTAAAATAAGAGTAAAACTTGTCAGTGCTCTCTGAAAAACTGTATCAAAAGGGAAAAATTGTAATCTATGTGAAAAACAGAAAATTGTAAGTAATTTTAACTAATAAAATATAATTGTAAAACAAATAGATAAAATATTTCAATTGTTATTTATAGTAAAAAACAAAGTCTATAAATGTGTAATGTTAAAAATAATAAAAAAAATATTTTTTAAAATTGTATTCTAATTATGTTAAATTTTAATTCATGTCTCTTAAAATATAAGTAATGTTGTAAAATAAAATTTTAATTATGTAAACTTTATTAGATCAAATTGTAAAACTCCAACTGAAGAAGGGTAGAAACCTGAAATGTGCATCTTGGAGATTTAGAGTCTAATAAAAAATAAAAAACCAAGTAAAAGTTCCTCAAAAAATGTGATGCGATAAGTCTGATTAAATAGCCAAAAAAAAGTAGCTATAAAAGAATAAAATAACAATCCTTATTTGTTACTGTGTTTTACAGTAGATAAGATTCATTGCCATTCTGGTTAAAAAAAAAAAGGAAAAGGTAAAATTAGAATGCACACTTATTTATCAAGCACCTAGATAAAGATAAAGTACCTAGTATAATAAGTTATCAAAAGTATGTTGATGACTGTTTTATTGTATATGATCAAAAAGTATTAGATATTAAACTATTCATGAATAAAATAAATTTAATAAATAATATACAATTTGAATATGAAGGAGAAGTTAATAATGGTTTAGCTTATTTACATGTTTTCCTAGTCAGATTAGATAGCAAATTGTTATTCAACAAATACATTAAGGAATGAGCTACATAAAAAATCATACACTATAAATCTAATATACCACTATGTATAAAAAAAGTGCACATTTCAAATGTATAGTAGTAAAATTAAAAATTGGAAATAGACTAGGAAAAATCTCCAATTGTATTATGGAAAGTTATGTGCATATTTAAAAAACTTTTGTTACATCATTCTTTGTCCTGATGTATGTCACATTTATGTTTTGAATTTGATCATCACCACATGGTGCATAGAATGTTCCATTTTTAAAAAAATCCAGCAACGAGTTACTTAACTTTCCTGGCAACATTTGGTGGTGCAATCTGTTGTTATATTTTATTTAAACTTTTTAAATTTTTAACTGTTATAAAATGTTTGTTGCCATAGATGGATTTTATAAAAATTATAAATACTAATAACAAGTAAAATCATCATTAAGTCTGATCCTACTGAAGATACACACAACCCCTTTTATCTCGCCACTCTGACCTTTAATCACCAAAATTTAATACCATCTCAATTCCCTAACAAACAAACCTACCTGCAAAATTTCAGAAATTTTCAACAAAAACTACAAGAGTTATTAAACTTCAAGAAGGGTGAACAAAATTGTGCTCTCCCCACATACTTCCATACATACAGAAAAATCCCCAAATTTTTTTGAATTTCTCAACATTTCAAACTGTCCTGAGTCCAACAATGTAAAAATCCTGGGATGTCATTTTTTGACCAATTTCCATATTTTCTCTCTGTTATATATTAACAGCCAGAAAAGTAAAATCGGCTCAAATAACAATCAATTTAAGGATCAGTACATTAACCTGATGAAGATTAATGACAGTGATCAAAAATATTAGTTTGGTTGATTTTTACATTAAATTTACATGCTGAAATCAACACATAAGGTGTCTGAGTATTTATATCCATTTCAAGCTTATGAGGTTGTTTTTTAATTTAATTTTTTATCTAATAAATATTTACATGTAATTTATAATTCAGAGAAGAATACCAAATCTTCTGTATTTATATAAATAAACCTACTAAAATCCATTTGGTAATCAAAATATTTAAATTTTTCATAAAGTAGTTTATACATTAAATTGTATTATTTGTTAATTTATGAGACATATTAAAGAATTAATCTACAATTATAAGTTAAACATAAATTACTTAACACTTTCTCATAATTCCTGAAAATCAATAAAAAAAATTAAATTTTAAATTTCATACTTTGACAAATTAAAATAAACTAAATATTTTAATTATATAATTCAGTGTTAAATATCATAAATTGAAGTTATATATTAAGAAATTAAGCTTACATATTATAAAATTGATAATTAATATTCATTCAATTATTAAACTAACCAGATTATCATTTTGAAGTTTATCACATGAGCATGAAGAAAAAGTTGAAAATGCTATGAATACAGAGCAAATTACAGAAATGACCAAACATAATAATAAAAATCCAACTAAACGCCTCATCGGTCCAAGATTCATAATTTTAAATTCCTGAAAATAAAAAAAAAGTTTAGTGTAATATTATATTAATTACAATATACAAGATTGTTGATCAAAATTGTTTTATATATATTCATTAGTTTACTTCAACAAATAAACAAGTGCATATAAAAAAACATATGTAAATTACAAATAATGTATTTCAAAAAATATTGCATTTTAAAAGTAAAAAATTTAAAAAATAATTGTATTGAGAAATTAATAGTAAGAATAAAAACATACCTAAAAGAATATTTTTATTTGGAATTAAAAAGTTTTTTATATGTGAAAAACATTCTAAAAGGATTGACTTCATTTACAGTTTATAATAGTTCAAAATCAAACATACTGTCAAAATAAATTTTAATTTTTCCATCACTAGATTCTTGTTTGGAGTTTCATCATCTCATGTTTTTAACTCTTCAAAACTTTAGAAAATCAAAGGAGCACAAATATAGTGTTAATAAAGGACTCAATAGCACAATATTGGCAAGTATGGCACAGTCAGACAGAGCAGTGATCAAATAGAATGAAGCAAAGATTGTTAGAACGGGGCACTCACCATCCATCGCGATGGAAATGGACAAAATACAGATTTACAAAAGTAAAATGAGGGACAGATGCCTAAATGCAAAAGATACAAATGCATTACCAATGGCTTGGAAATACAAAATTGTAAAAAGTACGGGTTTTAATAACCCATAACAAATATTTTGATCTGGAGTTTATAGGAATTAGTAGTTTAGACTCATTTAAAGTTGATATAATTTCTGTTTTTATTTCATTGTTAAATTGTAACGCGATTTGAGATTATATTTTTTATTTTTATTTATTTTTTTGTGTTTTTGATAAGTTGCAACACGTTTTGATATTATTGTTAGCTATTTATTTATTCTTGTATATACAATTAATCAATCTTTTATTAAGGCACCAAAGTAGTACATGCCCAGTACCGCAAGGCATAGCTGGGCTACATAACAAGATAATAGGTGAATTACAAAGTGTGGGAATTTATGCAATGCATTACAGCAGTTGAATGAGTTGTAATAAAATAATACAAAACAATAATCATTAAAACTAGTGATAAATACAATAAAAAAAAAAACAAGTGAGTATAATAAAAACTAAATTACAAATAACTATAGAAAAGGTAAATAATCAAAGTTAGCTTGTTTACACAATGGTTACATAATAAAAATAGTGAATAGTACAATATATGAATATTATGAAATGACTGTGGAAAAATAATATAAACAAAAGTATGTACAGTACATACATACAGGGCATAGGCAGCTAATGGCTTCAAGTGATACAAAATATTACAGGTATAAGTACAGAGAAGGGTTACTGGTTGGAGAGGATAGTTGAGATAATGCCTGTTTTTTCACAAGTGCATCGAAGGCTGTATACAGTTCTTTGTTCTGAAGGAAGTCCTTTTGGTGGCATGGCCAGGGGATGTTATTTTTGGAGGCTATTAGCTTGATGTTCGAACGTTCAGTTTCCAGGCACAACAGCTGAAAATGTGATGGTCAACGTCATCAACTTCATCACAAATGGCGCACAGTGGGATGTCCTTGATGGCAAATCTGTGAAAATAACTGGAGAACTTTCCATGATTTGTTAGGAACTGACATAAGTGGGTATTGAGCTGTATCCAATTGAATCCTTAATGTCCAGAATGCAATATTAAAATGCTGTATTAAAATGCAATATTAAAGTCCAGAATGCTATTAAAAGTAGTGATATTGTGGTTGTCACTCCAGTTGCACTGCCAAGAGTAAAGAAGATCTTCAAAAAGCAAGTTTTTAATAGCAGAGTGACTAATCCTGTCATAGGCTATTTCCAAGGAGTCATTGTCGGCTTCTGCCTTTGCCAGTTGGTCGGCCCGCTCATTTCCGGCAGTACCCTGATGACCATGAGTCCAATTAATGTAGAGGTAGTTTGTTGAGTTGCTGAGGTACTTTCTGATGTTAGTTGCAATGGGGTGTTGTTTCTTGCTGTTAATGATGGAAAGAGCAGAAAGACAGTCCGTGAGTATGACTATAGTTGTGTATTTGTAGTGCCAGTTGGTGGCCTTGCCAATAGCAGTTAGCTCTGCCTGAAATGAAGTACAGTGGTCTGATAACCTGTACTGTTCACTGTGAATTTCATAGTCGTCCTGGTAAGCCACAAAGACACAGCCAACCTTGCCGTCAAGTTTTGAGCCATCTGTAAATATTTGGGCATCGCTGTCTGTGGAGGATTTGCGTTTAGATAGTTGTGGACATATGGAGGAATAGTGTCAACAGGATTGTTTCTTTCAAGCTGATTAGCGGAGATGTTGCAGCTGAATGTGCTGATATCATGATCCCATTTAAGGCTCCAGAAGTTGTAGTAGAGGTTGATGATATCCACAATAGGCGGCTTGCGAGTAATGACTTGTAGGCTGACATTCGGTGTCGTCCTGTAGGCCTTTGAGATAAGTAGAAGGGCCCTGCACTGGGAAGAGACAAGTTTTCTTTTGAGGTGAACTTTATGTGCAGCACACCCCCAGCTACAACAAGTGACAATGAGTATATATATTTGGTTGTAGATAAGGCTGAGAGCATTGGATTTAAACCCCCATTTGCTCTTTGCAATCTTTGCAAAAGCATTGAAGATTTGACCAGTACGTTTAGAGATGTCTTTGATGTGTTCGTCCCAGCTCAGGCGATNCCTTAGCACCTCATAGTGAATGCTAATTTTATTTTCATTTTAAAACTTCTAGAAAAGTAGACAAACATACAGTAAAACAGCAAAATAAAATTAGGCATCTTTCACACTTAGACCCATTTTTATTGCTATTTTAATAAATTTGCATAATTTTATATTAAAATTCTTACCAAATAGTGCAAAATTTTTTCCTCTTAACTCCTCTATGATATATTACATTACTGTACTTCAAGGTTAAAAAGAATGTCAGTTTATGAAGACCTGTATAATTCAAAATTATAAATAAAAGCCTGCTTGCTATACAAGGCTTTCTATAAATAATGCAGCAGAAAAATTTCTATCAGACGAACTGTATATAAATAACATTTGAATACATAAAACTGATAAGTACTGAGAAAAATGATTAATGTGCATGAACCGCACAAAACCTACGAAAAATAGAGCTTAAAGCAAAAATTCAATTTGAAGTAACGTTTAAATCTGAAATCTTTTGTTCAAGAAAAAGTTACGCACGAATAAAATTTAGTAATTTGTGTAATTGAAAAGGATCACAATATTTAAACGAATAAATTTGCTCCGTCTCACTAGCACAATTGATGCATCTAATGCACGCTGTACATCACGTGATACGGAAATCACCAATTTTGCAGCGTTCAATTCAGTTTAAACGAAGCATAGAATGGAGGCCAGTTTGGATGCATTGTTCACCCAAAAGTGATGTTGCCCGATTAACTCCATCGTCGAGTACATTTCAACGACCACGACGCGATCTGACGAATCTTGGAGGTCAGTTTCTCATAAACTTTTATCGATATTAACTATTTAATTGATCAAGTTATATTTATACCCAACTTTACGCTCTTCTTAACGTTTGAATGAGAATTCCGAATGATATTCTTTTCTCTCGAGCCATTCGTTCATTTAATATTAACTCGAAACACATGTTAGGTTTAACAAAATCTCGTCTCTTTAGATTCGCTTTCGTCGCATTTAATAAAATAGTTGTTTCCGACAAAAATAACTATAATTTTTAAAGAGACGACATAATGGACCACCTATTCTCTGTATAAATATTTCTGACGTCACATTAAATGTAGCTTCTTCAATGTCAACTACTATGAAAATAATAACTGACGTAGCTGCAGTCAACATTTAAAAGGAATCGTCTATCATTAAACGTTGCTTCATATTCAAACTTGTTTATCGAACTTCGATCACGAAAATAAGTCAATTACCTTTATATTCGATTCGATTAAATAAATTTAAAAAAAAAACATTAAAAGATGGCAGTTATCATTTCAGATATAATTTATTTTTAATTAAAAACCAACCTTTTATAAATACATATTTAAACACTATTTATAATGGATATCAAGTGGGTAGATGCAAAGGAAATGATAACTATCCTTGAATAGCAAGTGCAGAAAAAATATGCAATTTTAAGTAGAAGCTATTATTCAAATAAAACCAGTAACCAAAAAATAGGGTAACACAATGTTTAATACAAAGTGATCCACAAAATACAACAATATCATTTCAAAGTTTTATAATGATAAGTAAAATGTCTTTAATCTTTTCAAAATTCTTGTGAGGATCTACCAGAATAAATTGTTTTTTAGAACTTCTAGAGACCCATTAGAATCACACCTAACCAAGATTCATAAAATAAACTACTGTACCATATTCTTTTGTCTCTACTAACAATATCTTTGATATATTTAATAATAATCCAGCCATCGGACAGAAAAATTCAACAAAAAGAAATTTTTAAATGTACTGTCGCGAGGGGGCAGCTTCAAAATCTACATCTTCCAGCGCTTTTTCTAGTAGATATAAAGCAGAACCACCCATTGGCAAGATGGATGAGAAATAAGACATCTGTGTCACCGATTCCTTTTATTTTTAATTGGATGTTTGTGTTTTTTAAGGGCCTTTTTTTTTTACTTTTTTGGCGGCATGAAGCCTAAAAAGGAAGGCCTGTCGCCATTAATGTGTATGTGTAGTCTGGAATGCAAAATAAATGGTGATTCCTCTTGGACAGACTTGTCTTTGATATATTTAATAATAATCCAGCCATCAGACAGAAAAATTCAACAAAAAGAATAATAGCCTTTTGCTTTTATGACTAAAAAAAGCAAAAGGCTATTATTTATACAGCAAAATTTTTTAAATAAAATTTTCCATTAAGATTGTATAGTACTGGGCAAATATCCAGTAAGCTTGGGATCAGAAGAGATCTGGTGTTTCCAGTTTTTAGACACATGCTAAATATACTTAAAATATGAAATAAACAATGAAAAGTTTATTAAATCAGTATATTC